GAGTCTGCTGTGAGCTAGGCTGACGCCACGGTACCCTAACCCAGGCAACAGAGCGAGACGATGTCTCAAAAAAAAAAAAAAAAAAAACACAAAGGGTGAGAACAAGAGGAATCAACGGTGATGAGGCTTTTGGCTTAAGCAACTAGGTACACTGGGCCATCTAACAAGATGGAGACTAGGGAACAGAAACAGCAGACTTGGAGGGAGAGGCTAAAAATCCAGTTAGAGTTGGACAGGATCGTGTAGATGCCACACTCACTTTCACAAAGGAACAGATCAGGGCTGGAGATGGAAATTAGTGTCATCAGCATTGAGGCCTTGAGACTGGACGAGATCACCAAGACAGAGTGTCTGGGCAGGGAGAAGAGAACCTAGGACTAAGCTCAGAGACTTGAGAAGCCAGCAAGGAGCAGCCAGGGGGCGGGAGGAGGAGAGAAGGATGGCAATAAACACTCCATTCAAACCCCTGCACTAAGACACTTGACCAAACTTGAATAAGGCTTCCGGAAGCCTAAGGTCACATCCCTAGGATGCCCCGCCCCCTTTTGAGTTCCCGTCTGGGAACACTCAGGGCTGTCAGAAGAATGTACTGTTCCATCTGGCCAGTGCCTGACACAGGACCCTGAACTCCGCTTCTTAGAACATTTACTAAAAAGGCGTCCCAGCTGTGAATGCCTGCTCTGTCCTTTTGAGATGTCTGTGTACGTGCGGCCAGCGAACCTAGGCAGTGTCTGTTCTCAAAGACCCGAGAAGCCATCGGGACAGGGAGGCCGCCCAATCTGCCAGTCTGTTGCCGTGGGAGGTCAGGATACTACCCTTCATAAACAGCTGGCTTCACTGCATGGATGTTGGAGCCCCCTTTGTCATTTTTCCACTTGAGGCCTCACTCAGCGCGCCCTCATTGCTTCTTGTAAAAGCGCCCAGGTCGCGCCTCTACGACACGGTCAGAATGGAGGCTCAGCTCTCCTCCCTGGACTGGCCAGTATTACTGAATGGAAATCTGTTTCACGACTTTAGATTCGAATGCCTGCCTTTTGTTTTATCTTTGACACTGGTGTGCCTGCATAAAGATTTCACACCTCACTCCCAGTAACAAACACAAAACTCCAACAGTAAGGCAAAAAATGTCAAATAGCCAACAAATGACCTACATATGGTGCCCTGCCTGGCAATGGCAGGGCACAGGCCTTGTGATGTTGGCCCCCTTCTGAGGGGGGCCTGCACAGGAAGCAGGCCACGTGACCCCAGAGGCGCAGATGCAGGCTTGCCAAAGGCAGTGAGACTGGCAGGCAACTTGCCGAACGCCACCCCGCCAACACCTTGATCGGGAACTTCTGGCATTCAAGACGAGGAAATGCATTAAACTTACTTGTTGTTTAAAACCCCCAGTTAGAGACAGGGTAGAGTGCTCGCTCTGTCTTGCCAGGCCTAGAAGTGAGTGGCCGTGGCGTCAGGCCTCGCTCACAGGCAACCTCAAACTCCTGGGGGCTCAAGCCGACTCCTCCTGGCCTCGGGCTCGCCGCAGAGTAGGGCGGACTAGCAGGCATTGCGCCCACCATGCCCGGCTAATTTTTAAGAAAAAATAAAAAAATAAAATAACAAATTAAAAATAACAACACCCCCAGTTTGCCGGTATTTTGTTACAGCAGCCACCGGAAACCACTGGCCCCAAGGAAACCTTGACTCAACCCCTTGTGCATTCCTTTGATGAGGGCAACGATATTCACAGGCAAGCTTTTCTCAGGCCACCAACAGACAAAACTCGAGCTGTATTAACAATCCAGAAAAACTTTGTAGGAAGAATATATTGTGTATGCTATAAAGTAATGCAGTGCAAGATTATAGGATTTTAGAAAATACATAAGGAAAAGCTTTAATTACAGTAACCCGGACCCGACCCACATCCCATCACCAACTCAGCAGTCTTTTACTTATTTATGGCACATAAGTTTGTCTCCTGGCCTATTCATGCCAACACACTACAGAGGTGGTTCCATGTGACAGGGGATTTAAAATACTGGGCTTGTGCAGCACCACACCATCAGATTGGCATAGCCTCTTAATTCACGATCGCTGTAGGGCTACAAATGCTGCTGCCGCAGAGCACCTCTGCAATGCGCCGATCACCTGTTGAGTACGGCCCACTGCTTAGGGTTAAAAGGGACTGAGGACACTTCCTAAGTGCATGCTTCCATCGCCGCCAAACCGCCCTCAGAAGGGGCAACCATCACACAGGCCTGTGGCGCCTGCGCATTGCCAGCAGGGCGCCATACGTGTAGCGGCCTTCATTCTGTTGCTATTTGACATTCATTTTCTTGCTTACTGTTGAGTTTGTGTTTTGGTTACTAGTGAGAGGTGAAATGCTTGTTATCCGTGCCTATCTGGTCGCCTGCATTTCTCTTATGCATCTGAGCGGACAGGAGGGGACATGGATGAAAGCGGGATGACGACAGGTTCCTGTGGGATGTCCTAAGGCTAGTGTGGATAGGGGTTTTTTTTTCGTTGCAGCTAATAAAGGCAAGGCAGTTTGATGGTTCCCTCCTGGAGGAATCTGGCCGTTGTTCCTGGAAGCGCCAATCTAAGTAAAGCTGGAAAGGAAGCAAGCAGACATACCCCACTTCTGGGCAAATGAGGTTAGTGAAATGCCTTGGGTCTAATGTATGATCAACCCTACACCGTCGTAAGCAAGGGAGGGGTAGGCAGGTAGCAAGGGTACCAGCCTCTGGAGAAGGGCAGTGAGTCTCAACTGGTCCAGAGGGCCCAAGCACGAGCATTCCTCCAGCTCCCAGATGCTACTGCTGTGCGGGCCACGTGGAAAAGTTCCTTAGAAGAACAACTGCTTCTCTCACTGCCCCTGGGTCTCATCATTCTTCCTAAGCTGCTTTCAGAAGACGGTGCTGGTCTGAGAAGGGCTCCCACATGCCTTAGTTCACCTTCTTGAGAAGTGTGAAGCCCACTCCTACAGTCAGTAGCCACTACCCAGGATTCAGGTGATCCAACAGCAGCCTACCCAGCTCTCCCACCCATGTCTGCTGGCCCTGGCAGGAGTGTCCACCTGGAGACAAGATGACCCCACGCCTGCAAGAGCCTACCCCACACCACACTCTATAGCCCAGCAGCCACCATTATCCTGGGGACTGAGTTTCTCTAGCAGAGCTGCAGGTCCTGGATGCACCTGTATTCAGGCTCTAATTGCCCTAATCTGTGGGCTCTGGGTTGAATGGTGGCCCCAAAAAGACAGGTACAAATCCTAACCCCCAAGGCTTGTGAATGAGACCTTATCTGGGACAAGATCTTTCTAGCTGTAATGAAGGTAAGGATCTGAAAATGAGGAGCTCACCCTGGATTACTGGGCGGGCCCCAATCCAATGACAGGTGCCCTTGTAAGAGACAGAAGAGAAGACACAGGCAGACGAAGAGGAAGAGGTCATGTGACCACAGAGGCAGAGACTGGAGTGATGGGTCTACCATCCAGGGAACACCAAGGATTGCCAGCAACCACTAGAAGCTAGCAGACAGGCCTGGATCTGATTCTCTCTCAGAGCCTGCAGAAGAAACCAACCTTGCTAACAACTGGATTTCAGACTATTGGCTTCCAAAACTGTGGAAGAACAAGTTTCTGTTGTTTTAAGCCACCAAGTTTGTGGTGTTTTGTTACAGCAGCCATAGGACACCCCTACACTCTCCTTCCAAAAGAATTAAAAGTGCTCTTATAGAAAAATTGCAGGATTAGGATTTATTTATTTTTGAAACAGAGTCTCACTTTGTTGCCCAGGCTAGAGTGAGTACCGTGGCATCAGCCTAGCTCACAGCAACCTCAAACTCCTGGGCTCAAGCGATATTACTACCTCAGCCTCCCGAGTAGCTGGGACTACAGGCATGCATCACCATGCCCGGCTAATTTTTTCTATATATATTAATTGGCCAGTTAATTTCTTTCTATTTATAGTAGAGATGGGGTCTCGCCCTTGCTCAGGCTGGTTTCCAACTCCTGACCTTGAGCAATCCTCCGATCCTCCCGCCTCAGCCTCCCAGAGTGCTAGGATTACAGACATGAGCCACCCCGCCCGGCCCAGGATTAGGATTTAAATGCAGCATCCATGAGCAGAGAACCTGCCCATGCCTTTAACATTTTTCCAAAGTATAATCTAATAGACATCTGGCTTTAAGAAATAGAAAAGTCATTCCCCACCCCCTGTAGATGCTGAGAAAGCCCCCAGCCTCTATTTTTAGAAGGTCTTATATTCTAATTCTAGTCAGCCCTCTCACAGTCAAATAGCAGGAAGCCCTGTGAAAAAGCCCAGAGAGAAAATCACAACATCCCATTCCTTACCAGGGGAGCTCACAGGAGGGCAGGAAGAAGGACCGAGGCAGCAAGGAGACAATGACGTGCACGCACTGCATCCTCTCTCAACTTTCCATATCCTTCCCTTACTACAAATGCAATGTTAATGCCCATGGCTTTCACACCCTAGGAAATATCCAGAACCTTGCAAAACAAGTGAAGAGTCCTCTGTCATTTGTAAGGTGTCATTCATTGCAAAGTGGCTTCCAGAAAAAAAAAAAAGGATAAATGTGACTACATAAAGATAAAAATTTCAAGGCCAAAAAACAACAGCAGCAAAGTCAAAGTGGGAAAAGTCTATCATAGGCAAAAGCTAATCCTGCTAATGAACAAAGAGCTCCTAAACAGTGAGGAACAAAAGATAATAACCCAGGAGAGAAATGAGTAAGATACAAACAGCCCATTCACAGCAAAATTGAAAAGGGCCCTTAAACCTCTGAAAAGATGCTTAAGCTCGCTCTTAATAGCAAAACTGCATACCTCGTGGATGATAAAAATCCAAAGGCTTGCCCACCCCTCTGTGGCAAGGCCATGGGAACCAGGGGGGTGGGGCTAGAAACCAAGCTCCAGGCATCACCCACCCCAGGCATCACACATGCTTAGCAGTGTCACTTCTAAAAATCTATCCCAAAAATATACATGATTAATGCACAAGGATTTTCACTGTACCATTATTTATGATAGCAAAAAGACTGAAAACAATCCAAATGTCCATCAATTGGGACTAGTTAAATGAACCATGCTATGGCCACAAAATGGAACAGCACACTGCCAATGAGCGCAGTGGTGTGTGCGGTAAGAGCGCTGGAACACAGGAGAGGGTGACCTGGCAGCCGGTGGGAGGAAGAGCTGCTGACCAGTTCTGCATAGGGGTGCAGCTCTCCCTGAGAGCCCCTGGCCTCCATTCTTGATTTCCTGGGTGGCGAGTGGAAGGATGGGGAGGGATTAGCCCCCGGAGGCAAGCAGCTCAAGCAGACAGAATGGAACGAAGAGTAGAGCATCAGGCTCAACCTAAAAGGTGGCTCAGCAGGCTAATAGGGCTGAAGCATAAAGCATTGCAGCCAGCTCCTAGTGCGTGAAGCAGTGGCCCACTCTTTGTCACCTAGCCCTTAATCCTAGACTAGGCAGGTGAGAGAGGAAAGCAGAGACTGCATGGTCCAGGGCGTGTCATCTGCAGGTGGCCTTGTGCTCGCTGGTCCTACTCAATGCACTCCATGACATGTATCTGCAGGGTGTCCATATCAGGAGCCTGATACTGGCACTTGGGACAGCAGAAGTCAGGTGGCTCTTCGGGGGGGCTTCTCCTCTGGCTGGGCAGGGCCAGATGAAAGGAGTGGGCTGGGAAAAGAGAACAGGCGGCACCAGCTGTAGGGGCTTCGTGCACATCCCAGGTATAAGTCAGAGGAAAGGGGAGGATGAAGAGGCAGTGAGACTTGACAGGACTGTCTATTTGACTACAAGGGTCACCACCCATGTGAGACCAGGAGCCACCACTACTGCCACATGGCAGGGGGGACTGGGGGGGGATGGCCAATACCAGCTTCTGCCGTCAAGGCTCTGGAGAGCCCTCCCCACCTGCCTCCTCCGGCAGTCACTCACTCACCTGGTGCGGGGGGCAACGGGGCCTGGGAGACCTCTATGTGCCGCTTCCTCATATCCTCAATCCTTTGAAAATAGAAACTGTCCAATCAATACGTGCATTTCTATAAAGCTCCTAGCTGCATTAGCGTGAAAAAAGCTGTTAGAAGGACAGGCCCAGAGGAAAGGAGAGGAAAGGAAGTGCAGCAAGCCCTAACCTGGAATGCCAGGAGCCATCAGTCTCCTGTGGTTACCACCGCTGAACCCCCAGCGCTGTGCCCGCTGCCCGTGAAGCACACTCTCATGAGCCCACCTGGCAGACTCCTGACAGCTGGCCTTCAACTTAGAGTACTCCCGCTGCAGTTGCTCCACCTGCTCCTGCAGAAGCTCCTTCTTTTCAGCCAGCTTCTCCCGGGCCTGCCTCTCAGCCTGGAAGTCTGCCTTGTAGATATCGGCCTGGCAAACGCAGGAGAGAGGGATGTGCCTGCGGTCCAGCCACCACCATCAGGGGCTCTCTGTGCTGGGCACTGGGAGAACAAAGCAGAACCCACTCCTGTCCTCCCAGGGGAACAAAGCAGAGCCCACTCCTGTCCTTCCGGAGCCCAAGGCAGCAAGTGACCCTAGGTGCACTGAGAGGTCAAGGAACAGTACAAGGGACTCAGAAAGCTTAAAGAAGCCAAAGCAAAAACATGCCAAAGAGATATGCCAGGTCCCAGTGCCAAGGCGGACCACAGATGAGGGCCCTCACCTGGGCCTTCAGGACTGGAACAGTCTCCATCACAATCTTGTGCTGCTCTGCCTCTTCCTTCAGTTTGTCGATCACTTCCTGTTTGGCCACCAGTGCCTCTTCGGCCTGCTGGAGCCGTTGCTTAAGATCTTCCAGCTGTATTCCCTAAAAATGGGCAAGGGGGAGCTGACGGAGCCTCATCAGCCCAGGGCAGGGGCTGAGCTACCTCCCAGGCAGGCTGCTGCTCCAGCTGAGGAGAACTGAGAAGGACAGAAGAGTAGCCCTGGCTGAGGCGAGCTGCAGCGATGCCAGCCCCTTGCTTTAAGAGGCCATCATAGGACCTCAATGTGTACAGGGAGAACACTGCATCCTGCCACGCCCTAAAAGGACAGAAGAAATGCTGAGGTTTCTCTCAGGACATAAAAGAATATTGGTTCAGATGATTGTCATGAGCAGAAAGAAAAAAAAAAAAAAGAATATTGGGACTGAAGGGACCTCTCAGGTTATCTGGTACAACCTCCTACCCAAGGAGACATTCCCTCCACAGAATCCCAGCTGAAAGGGACAGGGGCCACACTCACTCCCATGGCTGCCCACACACAATGAGCCAGTCCCATGCACAAACCCTCTACCAACTACATGCCCACCACGTGCACACTGTTCCTTCCACTCTGCCATGTGGTCAAAGGTCTGCTCACCCCACACAGATATCCCCCCACTGCACAAACACATGCACACACCCCACTAACACTTCCCTCCAGAGAGTACATGGCCAACTAACTCTTCCGCATATGACCTGGTTTCACGCTTCATCCTTATAAGTCTCCTCTAGGTAAATTCACAGTCAACAGTGTCCTTCTTAAAATGTGACCGCTAGAAATCACACCCGGTTTAGGTCTCATGAGGACAAACTAGAAAAGGGCTCCCAGCACCTTTTAACACTGGGATGAAAATGTTACCCGGCCTTACCTTGGCTCAGGGAAAACTGAGCCAGATGGTGATGGCTGGCAGGAGAGGATGTCCATGGAGACAATCACGTCCCCAGCTTCACAAAAAGAGTATCCCAAGGCCCTGGCTCAGCCCACCATGGGGGTGGCCTGCTGATGTGGCTGAGAGCATCCCAAATGTTCCCGCCTCTTACCAGGTGTGGTGGCTCACACCTGTAATCCTAGCACTCTGGGAGGCTGAGGCGGGCAGATTGCTCAAGGTCAGGAGTTCAAAACCAAATGTCCCTGCCTCCCCAGTCTCCCCTTAGCTATCACGGCTGCAGGCATGACAAAGGTTCAGAAGTTAAGTATGTCTCCCAAGGCCAATTCTGTCAAGTCTCAGGGCTCATAGTCTTCTCTGTCTCCAGGGGTGCTGGGAGAGGAAAAGGCAAGGCCAGCCCTGGCTGGCCATACTCACTCGCTTTCGCTCGTTGCTCACCACGCTACTCTTGATGTGGCTGTCATACTCTTGGAAGAGCTGGTGATAGGCCACCTGCAACTGGGCCAGCTTCCGCCTGAGGAAAAGGAGCTTTTGCTGGAGAAACCACCTTGTCTCAGGCCAACCACAGCTTTGCCCACTTCTAATTCTACACTTGTCCTTCCTGTGGCATTCCTGGAATGGGGGCTTCCAAGGCCACATGTGGACTCCTGAGGTCATCAACTCTGAGGCTTCGCTGACTGCCAGTACTACTGCAATTGGATCAGTTACTAAATAGTTAATATCATTTTCCCTGGAACTAACATTTTTAAATGTTTATAACAAAATGGAACCATCCTGCATGCTCTGAAAATGTCAACTTCGTGAAAAACTTAGAAAGACAGGGGGATTGTTCTAGAGTAAGGGAGATTCAAAAAACATGCCAAGGAAATGAACTTGAGATCCTGAATCAGATACTGGTAGAAGGGTTTTTAAGGACACATGTGGGACACATGGTGAAATACAAATGTGAACTGGATAACAGATAACATCATTGTACCAAAGATAAAACTGCCTGGGTGTGATAATGGTCAACTTTACCATTAACAAGGCTAAGGGATGGAAATCAGCCCTTGCCCACAGCCAGTTCCTAAAAGGACTCCCCAGAAGGCAGAAGAAAGCTATAGGCAATCTGGTGCCCACAGGCTCCACCGCCGCCCTGGGCCACTTCCCGGAAGACTCACTTCTCCTCCGAGGCAGCCTGGCGCTCCATGCGCAGCGCGGCCTCCATGCTCTGGTTCTGCATGCGCAGCTGGTCCACCTGCACACTGTGCTGTTGCTGCAGCGCCTCACACTCGCTCTCCAGCTGCCTGGCCTGCTCACTGGCTGCCCGGGCCCTGGCACAGGGACAGAAGAACAGACTGAGGGCAGAAGGCTGGGGGAAGGGAGGAGGGATGCATATAGGATGGGTCCTGAAAATCCTGTGACTACAAGCTGACTCCACATGTCAGGGTGGAAGCACTGTCACCAGAGACGGGGACAACCACAGAGGGCCAGATGGGGGCAGCAGATAAGGAGCTCTGCTCGAGTTGTGTTTCTTTCAAGGCAGGGGCCCAGAAGACACCCAAGTACAGACGGCAAGGAAGCCTGGGAGCCAGCACCTCACAGCCCCCTTAACACATTAACTGCCACGTGAGTTGTATTTAACTCACGCTAGTTTTGAGCCTGGGGCCTCATGAGGCAAAACCTGGGCAAAACCCTGCAGTTGATTCATGAAAATCTTACTTGATATTCTTATTGTTATAATTAATATTGACTAATTCTAAAAATGTACATTAAGTGAATAGAAGTCAATACATTTCATTTTTCATTAAATTAGAAGGACTGTTTTGTTTTTGAAGTTTTTATTCTATTTTCATAATAAAACATTGTGGGCCCAAGGAAAGTTTTTTCTGGTGTGGCAGTCAGTGTGTTAATCTACACTGGCTCCAGCCTCATCCCACTGCCCCAAGGCCTTTCACAGCCCCCACTGCAGGGGTGATGATGAGTGCTTCTATGTGGACCTGGGGTGGCCACAGGCGACATGCAGACGGGGCTCTTCACAGGTCTCCCGAACTCCGCCTGGCTGGCCTGGCTGTCTGGCTCTCTCCCCTCCATGCCTTCATTCATGCCGCCCCCCCAACCCTACCCCAGTCCTCTCTGCCCATCAAAGCCAGAGCCAAAGCCCCTCCCTTTTACACAAAGGCTCCCAGAGGATTGCCCCAAGCACACCCTGACCACATACTGTGCTAGGATGGCTGGGCCACCCCTGTCAGCTGGCCCAGCTGTCTGGAGGGCAGCAGCTGGGTGGTATGAGAACCACAGAAACCTTCCTGCCCTTGGATCCAATGACCCCACTTATAAGAACCTAGATTCTTTTGAAAAGAGAATGACTGACAGGCCTGAGGCTGCTGGCTCGCAAGGCTGGCCCTTAGCTGGTGCAAGTTCCCTCCACTGCTGTGACACTTTCCCTACTGATGAGGGCGGACCCTGCACCTGGAATGTGGTTTATGCCAAGCACCTGCTCTCCTGCTGGAAGTTGGGAATTTTGGAATATGCCCAGCAAAGGATGCCAACATGACCAGACCTCAATAAATACCCGAGGTGCCAAGTTTCTAGCAAGCATCCCTGGGCAGAAACACCAAACCCCACCTGTGGTTCCTGCCCTGGCAGGTCCTGCCACATGCCCTTTCCCTATGATCAACCTCAACTGTGGGGCAACTGTGTGCCACGTCCTGTGAGTCCTTCCAGAGAACCATGAACTGTGGGTGTGGTCTTGGAGCCCCTGAAATGCCTACAAAAGAAATAATACAAACTCCAACAAAGGGTCAGAGCCCAAATCTCTCCCAACACCTGCTCTGACATCCATAGGGTATTCATGCAGCATCCACAGAGGAATTCCCTGAAGGCTCATAAACCCACCTCATTCTTCTTGAAACCCTGGAAGCGGCCTCCAGGGCAGGCTTTTTGTTCCCACTCACCTGCCCTCCAAAGTCTGACATTCCTTAGTGGCAGCCTCCAGGCAACTCTGGCTCTCTTGGAGCTCCCCGAGCAAGGATGTCACCTGGGCTTTCACAGAAGCCTTGTCCTCAGCCATCTGCTGTAGGAGAGAAAGACATCCCTGTCAGCACTGTTTTCTCCAGAGCTGCCACTCTGAATCCCGAAACATGTGCACCCTGAGGGCTTCTCACCTGCCCTCATCACCCCTAAAGCCAGGCACGCTAAGGCCTCATGAACCCAGCGGCCACCTGACCCTCCCCAGTGCTCCACCTCGACCTGCCCAACTTCCCCCACTCATCTCATCCCTCACCTCCTGAAGCTTCCCAACCCCAGCAAGATAGCTGAAGCAGTGGAAAGGGGTCAAGTCCTGAGAGCCCATGCCACCAGGCCACCAGGCCCCCTCCTGACTCCTGCAGATGGTGCAACAAGAGACCACAATGGACTGAAGGAGCACAGAGATGTCCTGAGTCTCCTGAGGCTGCCAATAGTTCAGCCACTGCCCTGGCAACTAGGCTGTGAGGGCTGCACCTGGCAGCAGCTTTGCGCTGTGGCCCAGCAGGGAATATCTCTCAGCCTCTCTGAGACTCGGTGCAAAAGGTGGCAAGACACAGAGACAGCAAAGAAAATACAAGCTCTAGCCCACAGGCCCAGGCCACGAGAAGGTGAGAGTTTTTGTAAAGCAAGAACAGATATTGAATTTTGTTAAACACTGAGAACTGCAAAAACTCTCGGCATGAACACTCCATTCAAACCCCTGCACTAAGACACTTGACCAAACTTGAATAAGGCTTCCGGAAGCCTAAGGTCACATCCCTGGGATGTCCCAGCCCCCTTTTGAGTTCCTGTCTGGGAACACTCAGGGCTGTCAGAAGAATGTACTGTTCCATCTGGCCAGCGCCTGACACAGGACCCTGAACTCCACTTCTTAGAATGTTTACTAAAAAGGGGTCCCAGCTGTGAATGCCTGCTTTGTCCTTTTGAGATGTCTGTGCCTACAACCTGGCAGTGTCTTTCTCAAAGATCCGAGAGCCATCGGGAAGGGCAGGCCCCCATCTGCCAGTCTGTTGCCGTGGGAGGTCAGGATACTACCTTCATAAACAGCTGGCTTCACTGCATGGATGTTGACCCCCCTTTGTCATTTTTCACTTGAGCCCTCACTCAGCCGCCTCTCGACCCCCTCATTCTTCCTGTAAAATGCCCAGTCCCCTCTACACACGTCAGAATGTGTGTGCACCCCTCTACTTTAAGCCCTCCAGTTTGTGGTACCTTGTTACAGCAGTCCTAGAAAAGTCATACACTTCCCCAAATGGTAAACGAAGGCCTTAAGCCAATTCTCCCCATATTGCCCCCCGCAGGCAGCACGTCCCTTTCTTGACTACTGTCACCAGGATCGTGAGATCAGCCAAGCTCAGACAAAAAGGCTCTAAAACAGCCTCCATTAGCAAACACTGAGCATGCTTTCCTTTGGAGGTTCTGCACAGTGCAGGGCCAACCCATAGGCCTGGGGTTCTGGCCTGGTCCTGGAAGATAATCTCTAACCACCTGGAAAATCCTGCCTGATAAGAGTGTCTCAGTTTAGCAGGGGCCAAGGACCCTGCCAGGCAGTCTATACCAATGACATGATTTGTCGGGGCAGCCTGAGCCACATGGTATCAGTGGGACCTCCAGGTAGCTGGAGCCTGTGTAGCCAGGTCAGCCCCATGGGTGCTCCATGCCTACGTGACCCACCCCAGTACACACCCTGGACACCACAGCCCAGGGGGAGCATCCCTGGCTGGCGATACTCCACATGTGTTGTCACACATTGTTGCTCACACATCACTGCTGGGAGAGTTAAGCACTGTCCATTCACCTCCCCGGGAGAGGACACCCAGAAGCTCTCGCCTGGCCTCTGCTGGACCCCGCCCTCCGCACCTTGTACTTTGCTGATTTTAACCCGTGTCCTTTCGTTGCAATAAACTGTAACTATGAGTGTGATGGCTTTTCTGAGTTCTGAGTCCTCCCAGCACATCAGCTCTTGGGGACCCCTGACCACAAGTTCCCTCCTGGAATACTAGTGTCCCTGTCAGTTTTCAAAATGCAGGCAGTTGGTGGCACAGGTGGGGCTAGGACCCCAGCTCCTGACTACCTGCTGGCATCTCTTCAGGTGCTCCACCTCCTGCAGGGCCTGCTCCCTCTGCCTCCTCAGGTCAAGCTTTTCCAGGCTGAGTCTCTCCACCAGTTTCTTGGCCTCCTGGAATTTGTGCATGAGGAACTCCTTCTCTTCCCTCTGGCTGACTTGGAAACGCAGCAGCTCCTCACAGCGCTCTCGCAGCATCTGGTTGCTCTGCCGGATGGCATCTGGTGGCAAAGGGGACAGCAAAGGGAAGGTGAGCCTGAAGTACAGGAGGTCAGAGGCCAGAAGCAGGAGCCCCCATCCATAATACATGGCCTCTCACAGAGATAGCTGGCTTCCAAACACTCCCTTTTATGCTTTAAACACCTCCAAAATCAATTACACTAATGATATGCCTCTAAGTTTCTCCAAGGAAATACCAAACACACCAGCTTCACTTAAAAGCATGTGTCACATGCCACTTTCTTTGTAAGCAACTCCAGAATTCATTTGTATTCTGGTCAGTTCAGGTATGCCCGCCCTGGGACACTGAGTCCCTCCCAGGACCACATCCCTGCTTTCTTCCAGATCAGTGTGGCCTAGCATGCCTGCGGTCAGCAGAGGCCAGAGGAAAGGAAAGCCCCACACCCAAGGGACATCCCGGGTAGTAAAGGAGCCATGTGAGGTAATAAAACTGATCAGGGACATACAAAGGTTCTAGCAAGTACAGAGCTGTATTAAAACAGGGGCAGGCAGTCAAAATCCTTGACCAACTAACTACTTCCTGCTGACAAGCACACTAGCCACCCACCCCCTCCACTCCCCCTGGGGGAACCCATCAGAATCCTGCCAGCTCAGCCCAAAGTTCAACTCACATGCAACTTTTTAAAAAATTTTTTTTGTTTGTGATGGAGTCTCGCTCTGTCACCCTTGCTAGAGTGCAGTGGTGTCAGCCTAGCTCACAGCAACCTCAAACTCCTGGGCTCAAGCGATCCTCCTGCCTCAGCCTCCCAGGTAGTTGGGACTATAGGCGCATGCCACTGCGCCTGGCTATTTTTTCTATTTTTAGTAGAGACGGGCTCTCACTCTTGCTCAGGCTGATCTCCAACTCCTGAGCTCAAACGATCCTCCTGCCTCAGCCTCTCTGAGGGCTAGGATTATAGGCATGAGCCACCACGTCCAGCCTGCAACTTCTTTTTTTTTTTTTAACTTTTTTAACTGAGGCAAAATTGAAATAACATCAAATTCACCATTTTAACTATTTAAAAATATACAGTGGTAATCCAGTGGTTTTTACTATATCCATAAGGTTGTGCAACCATTAGGGCTACCTGATTCCAGAATATTTCCAGCACCCCAACAAGAAACTGCAGACCCATTAGCAGTCACCCTCCCTTTCCCCCCCCCACAATCCCTGGCACCTACCCACCTGCTCTCTGCCTCTGGGGATTGGCATTGCCCTCTTCTGGACAAGTCACATAAACTGAATCACGCACTAGGTACACAAACTGCTTCCATGAAGCGTCTCCCCAAGCATTCGAAGCACAAACTATGTCCTCCCTTCTCCCTGGCTCTCCCAGCCTCTTCCACCAACACAATCATGAACATCTTGGGGGGCAGACATCTTCAGGACCCCTGCGGGTCATGTGGAGCCATTGAGTTCCACTTGCCACCTACTAAGCTCAGGTCAGGCAGCACAAGTAGAAGCAATATAGCCTCAAGGCCTCTACATGCTGCTGGAGCTGCACTGAACACACAGCCTGGAAGGGAACCAGGGGTTCCACATGCCATGCCATGGTCCCTGCGCAGCTGGCATGCAACATTCTCACTCCCAAGTCTGCCCTGGTAGAGTTCTCTCCTGGGGATGAACAGAGGCCCCTGACCTGGTTGCCAACTCTATGTGCACTAGTGTCCTTAAGGCCTCAATACAGCAGGTCTCACCTGGGGACAACTGGCAATGCCTGGTGACATTGTTAGTTGTCACAACTGGATGGGTACTGCTGGCATCTATTTGGCAGAGTCCAGGGATGCTACTCAACACCCTGCAATGAGCAGGACACCCCCACCACAAAGAATCATCCAGCTTCAGGTGCCAACAGTGCTGAGGTAGAAGCCCTGGCCCTAAAGCAGGCAGTTCATGTTGGTTCTCTCTCTCCAATGTAGCCTCACCCTCAAGGAGACCAAGCAGCCCCTCGGTGGCAAGACAACTGCATTGGCCCCTTTCACCCTGGAAGGAAAGGTGGTTCGTCTTGACAAAAAGACAAGACATGTATTCCAGGCATGGATTTAGTCCCTGCTCAGAGGGTGTCAGCCAGCAACAGTCTCTGAAGCCTACAGAGCATGTAAGCATGTGGGTTGGCACAGGAGCCAACATAACTTCCCAGACCACTGTCCAGCAAAGGAGGTGGGGGAGCGGGCCAGTAACTATGACTTCCACTGGCCACAGCACATGCTGCCTTGCCCAAGAGCCACCGGCCAGCTAGGGATATAGAGGCCCAGCCATGTTGGTCATTCCAGCTCCAGAGCTCCCCTAGGGTTGGCCAAGGCTATCCCAGAGTCAGCCCCAAAGCCCACTTCTCCCTCTGCCCACCCCTGCTCCTTCCCCTGTCGCTCTTTTCCCTTCCCCAGTACTGGTCCTGAGTGCCCTGTAAATAAACTTCCTGCCCTCTGATCTGCACCTCAGCATCCACTTCTGGGGAACCTCACCTGAAACCAAGAGGGAGGATAGCTAAGCCACCTCTCAGGCGAATTCCCACCCACACTCAGCAAACACAGACGGGCAAGTGAGGAGAACAAGCCTTTTCCTCAGCAAGGCTGGGTATCCTGATGTTTTACTCCACCCACTGTCTTCCTCACCTCGGAGCTCTTGATTCTCTTCCAGACAGCGCTGGAGGGCTTCAGAACTGGCCTGCTCTGAAGGTAGATGCAGCATGGCTGGCTTCCCCAGAGAAGACTCTTCACACAGCACGTCCTGGTCCCCTGCCGGGCCACCACTGGGCTGTACCATCTCACACAGCTGATTCTTCCAGAGGTGCCTGCTCATCCAACAAGTCACTGTCTGGAAGAGAAAGACAGCAGAGGCATCACATGAGACCCATGTAGAATTCTCTTACCCAGCAGGACAAGTTTACTCTGTGCAGGAGTTCTGGGGCTAGGGTTCAGCACTGATTTTAAACTCTCTGCCTAGCACCTATATCCAGGCAGTTAAGTTAATGGAAGTTAAGAATTTTACCAGAGGTGAGAAATTAGGGAGAGGATTATGTGTGGAAGAAGATGTCAATGTGCTGGGAATCATATCCCTAAACACCTCCAAGCTGGAGAAGTATAAGGTGCTGGCTCCTCACCTAGTATAGCAGGCTGAAAGGCAGCCCCCAAAAAGATATGTCCATGTCCTAACCCCCAGAACATAAAAATGTGACTTTATCTGGAAAAATGGTAAACTTATCCTGGACTACCCAGTGGGCCCTGACGCAATGACAGGAGTCCTGAGAGACAGAGGAGGAGACAGAGGGAGACACACAGGGGAGGAGGCCATGTGGAGACGGAGCTGGGACTGGAGTGATGCAGCCACAGGCCCAGGAACAACTCTGGCTGCAGAAGCTGGAAGAAAAGGGGAGGGTCCTCACCTAGAGCTTTCGGGAATGTGGGTTTGCTGACCCTTTCATTTTGGACTTCTGGTCTCACAAACTGAGAAAGATTAAATTTCTGCTGTTTTAAACCACCAAGCTTGTAGTCATTTCTTACAGAAGCCCTGGGAAACTCCTATAACTCAGTAAGAGGGGCTGTGAGGAGACCAATCAGAGCCTGATGAGTGTTTCTTGGAGCTAGGGACACGGGCAGAGGGGATATCTGCTGTCTGATCACATGTGCTAAGGAATCTAAAAGTGGGAACTGGGCAGTCAGCCAGAGACAGTGGGGCAGAGAGATAGGCTAAGCTGCTTGTGTTCTCTTGTGAACTAGAAGTATACCATGTAGGACAGTGCCAGCCTGGAGCCCTTTTAAATCCTGCCCAAGAAGACTGACTACCAGGAGAAAGCAAATCCAATACAAGTTTCTGGAAGAATGCCTGAGGTGAGGGAGGGTGACTTTAATACCAAATAAACTTGGCCACTTTGACTATTTACACTGATACTGTCCCACTGAATACCCCACTAGACCCATCAGCAGCAGAAGATACAGCTGATCTCTCCCTCCTTCTCAATATACTTTCCTCCTTTGGCTTCCCCAACAGCCCACTCCTGCTCAGGTGCTTTCACTGGGCTCCCACCTCTTCACGTTGGATGCCCCAGGGCTCTGTACTGGAACCTCTTCTCTTCTCTAACTACATTCGCTCCCACAGTAATTCTATCCAGTCTCATGGCTTTAACCCCAATCTAATGCTTAATTAGACCTCTTTTCTAAACTCCACACTCACATATCAAACTCAACGTTTCTACTTGGTTATCTAGTAGTCCTCTCAAAACTAACCTCTCTAAAACTCCTGACAATCCCCCAAAGCCAGTTCTACCAATGAACTATTATCAGTTGATGGCAAATCCATCCTCCAGTTTATCAGGACAAGTAACTTGGAGTCCTTCTTGACTCACTCTCTCTCTTTCTCTCACTCAGAGAGAGAGTGCACATGAGTGTACATTCATATCTAATTGATCAGGAAATCCTGTAAAAATGTATCCCACAATCAATTTGGTTTTTTGTTTGTTTGTTTGTTTGTTTTTTTAGACAGAGTCTCACTTTGTTGCCCGGGCTAGAGTGAGTACGGTGGCATCAGCCTAGCTCACAGCAACCTCAAACTCCTAGACTCGAGCAATCCTGCTGCCTCAGCCTCCCGAGTAGCTGGGACTACAGGTATGTGCCACCATGCCCGGCTAATTTTTTCTATATGTATTAGTTGGCCAATTAATTTCTTTCTATTTATAGTAGAGAAGGGGTCTCACTCTTGCTCAGGCTGGTTTCAAACTCCTGACCTCGAGCAATCTGCCCGCCTCGGCCTCCCGGAGTGCTAGGATTACAGGCGTGAGCCACCGCGCCCGGCCCCCACAATCAATTTGATGACACTAAGCAATTAACATTAACTATTTTAGGTGTGATAATAATATTGTGGTTATTTTTTACAAAGTTCTTTCTTAGAGAGATGTATACCAAAATGTTTACAGATGATGTCTGAAATTCACTTCAAAATAATGGAAAAACTCCTAGGCATATACCCAAGAGAAATACAAACACATGTTCACACGTGAATGCTTACAGCAGCATTACTCTTAACAGCCAAAGAATGGAAACAACTCAAATGTCCATCAACTGATGAACAAAATTTAGTACATCTACATGCTAGAACATGAACAAATCTTGGAAACATTATGCTAAGAGAAAGAAGTCACAAAAGACTATGTATTGCATGATTTCATTTATATGAAATACCCAAAATAGGCAAATCCACAGACACAGAAAGCAGATTAATGACTGCTGGGAAGAGCCTCTTAGGGGTAGGAGGGATGGGGTGAGTGGGAGCTGACAGCTAAAGAGCATGGAGTTTCTTTTTGGAGTGACGAAAACGTTCCAGAATTAGTGGAGACGGTTGCACAACTCTGTGAATATACACACTATAAGCCATTGAGATGTACAGTTTAATGGGTGAATTGTGCAGCATTCTCAATGAAGCTGCTATTGAAAATAATGGGAGAGGACTGTGAGAGGTATGAATTAAATAAAATTAGCCACAAGTTGATAACTGTTGAAATTGGGAGATGGGTACATGGGCTTTACTATACTAATCTTTCTAGTTTTGTAAATTTTTAAGAATTTTCAGCAATAAAATGCTCAAAGCACTATTGTCTCTCACCTGGATTACTGTAATGGCTTCTTAACAGATCACCCAGTTTCCACCCTTGCCTCCTACAATCTATTCTCCCCACCGAAGCCAGAGCGATCAATCTAAAAGATAATTCTGATCTCGTCCCTCCTCTACGGGAAACCATGCCACAGCTCCCCCTTAGTCCCTGGTGTAAAAGCCAAAGTCCCAGGCCGGCCTGGTGGCTCATGCCTGTAATCCTAGCACTCTGGGAGGCCGAGGCGGATGGATTGCTCGAGGTCAGGAGTTCGAAAAGACCCTGAGCAAGAGCGAGACCCTGTCTCTAATATAAATAGAAAGGAATTAATTGACCAACTAAAAATATATAGAAAAAATTAGCTGGGCATGGTAGTGTATGCCTGTAGTCTCAGCTACTCGGGAGGCTGAGGCAGGAGGATCGCTTGAGCCCAGGAGTTTGAGGTTGCTGTGAGCTAGGCTGACGCCATGGCACTCTAGCCCAGGCAACAAAGTGAGACTCTGTCTAAAAAGAAAAAGCCAAAGTCTCTACAATGGCCTGTAAAGCCCTGTACCATCTGGTTTCCCATTTCTTCCTCACCAACTATGCTCCCCTTACTTACTCACTCTGCTCCAGCCTCCTTGCTGTTCCTTGAATGTGCCAGGATGGCCCATTCATTCTCAGGTCACAGAGTGGTAACAGGGCGGACAGATATTAATCGTTTTGCAAAGTGAGCAAACTGAGGCACCCGAGATAAGATACTTGGCTGCCAAACTATATTTGAGGCCTTTTTAAAGAATTCAACGATTTCAAGATCATTCAACGTTGAACAAATGTTTCCAAACTAGAAGAGTCCTCGCACTAGAGGTATGATCAGACTCCGCGGCAGCGGTGGAGGGAAGGGCTGAAACAATCCCGCTCGCCGCTCAAGTAACCTGTGTCCTGAGTCGGCCCGCTTTGGCCAGAGTTGCAGAAGCGCGCGGCAGGAACAGGCCCGGGCCCAACAGGAGGGGGAGCCTGAACGTCTAGGGGAGTCCCGGAGGCGGCGGACCACCCGTCGATGGAATCCTGTCTTCGGGGAAGAAGACCACACCTGTCAGCAGAGTCGGTCAGACGTGAGGAGGGGGGAGCCGCAGGCTGCTAGCGCTCCTACGGCCCCGGCGCTCTGAGAAAGTCCCAGTACTGCGGTCGCCCTCTCTTCCGAGTCGAAATCCCCGCTACCGGCTTCCGGTGTCGTGGATGTGGGATCCGGAAGTAAAAACATGCAACCCCGCCCCCAGGAACGCATGAGGTAGGTGAGAGAAGCGAGACAGCGGCAAGGCCGCATCTTGCTCCAAATGCAAGTCCAAGCCTGCTAGCCTTGGCCGGCCAGCAGGACGCTCCGTAGTGATAAGCACCACCGCTACTTTTCAGGGCATCACGACCTACACTGCTCCTTGTCGCTCAGATGGCGGCACCCAGCATCGGGGCGCTTGGTCATCCCACCCTTGCCAGGGGTGGAGTCAAGAAGAGGCTGCCCAATAGGGCCAGCTTGACCCGAGAGCAGGTGACTGAGCCCCGAGGGGGCGGGGCTGCAGAAGGCCCCACCCAGACCTCGAAGGCAAGGCCAGAGGAGGCGTAGTCCAAGCTGCCGGCGGAAGTGGTCCTTCCGCGAGGGCGCGGGGCCTTTGGGCGGGCAGGAAAACCGGACCGTAGGGGCGGAGCTGGCGATGGGGACGCGGGAGAAGTGTGCGGAGCAGCGGCAGCGGGGACGGCAGGTGGCTGGCACAGGTGCCTGAGGGCGGGGCGGGGCGGCTCGCAAGCGGGACTGGCCCGGGATGCGCGCGCACCTGCCCTAGCCCCGCCTGCGCGACTTGGAGCCGAGGCCCCGCCCCGCGCGCCTCGCCTGAGACCGGTCAGCTCAGCTGAGGCGCCCGCCCTCGCTGCTTAAATGGGCTGGCGGGGAACAGCCCCCGGAAACGGCCGTGCACTCCAGGGCTGCGAGCGCGGAGGGTGGCGGCTGCAAGGCGCAGGTAACCAGGCAGGCGGGCGCCGCACCGGCGGAGGGGCGTGCTGCCTACCTCTGCAACACGCTGCCCTTTGATGCACGCTGTTTGCTGTGCTTGGGAATGAGCAGAATCGAGAGGGTCTTAATGGATATCTTTATACTCCACACCTCTCTCGTGGGGCCCTTGAGTACACTGAGACCTGGAGAGGGGAAAGCAATTGCCAGGGTCACCCAGCTTGGCAGGGGGAGAACTGGAGCTGAACTCCATCATCTGCACAATCTAATATGCTCCAGGTCTTTATAGCGTTTCTGATACAGTAAATAGGGTTTAACTCGGTTGCCCATAACTGATGCTCTAGCTGGAATCCACGAATCCTTTGGATAATTTTGTAAGGTATGCCCTGAATGAAAGCTTGGAAAAGTATGGCTGGGGGCCAGAGCCAGCCCTTTCTAACTCACCAAACTTCCTGTTTCCCACCAGTCCCCCAACCCCCGCCGCTCATAACAAGTGGTTTTGGTAATCAGGCGTCACCTGAGTGAGAGCCCAAAGGAACCCTCCCACTTTGTCAATGAGCCTTTCTTCCTCCAGAGATCATCATGGCAGAACAGGTGGCCCTGAGCCGGACCCAAGTGTGCGGGATCCTGCGGGAAGAGCTGTATCAGGGTGATGCCTTCCACCAGTCAGATACACACATATTCATCGTTATGGGCGCATCGGTGAGTCTTCCCCAGGCCGTGAATCTTAAAAGACAGACTTTGAGTGTGACATTGTGTGAGGCACTTCCTGATCCCGGACTCAGCTTTCCTAGCTTATTGTTCTGGCCACACTAGGCGCACGCTCTGCTAAGTCGAGCTCTTCCAAGTCGAGCTCTTCCTATTGCTCTTGCCTGTGGGCCATTACCATCCTACCACCTACCTGATACACACACAAGGCATTTCTGAACCCTGTGCCCAGCCAATGAATATAGAGCTGAGTCCTAGGGCTACAAGGTCCTTGAGAACCATCTACTTGGACCTTTTCCTCCTCCCTGGGGAAAACAAAGAATGTTATTCATTCTTTGAGTACTTTTTTCAAACCTGTTCATGACTTGCCAAATGTCACATAGTTGGTTAGTTCCAAAGGAAAGATCTGAAGCCCAGTCTCTGTCTCTTCTCTCTACCACATCAAGTTCCCTGGGGACAAACACAGAGCCTTTCTTTGAATGCCATCTCTTTGCCCCAACTCCCAAAGCCCGCTGAGAAGCTCCACCTCACCCCAACTGGCCCCGGTTGTCCAGCTGGTGAAACTGCTACTTTGATGGGCAAGGCCAAGGAGTAGAAGCAAAGGCAGAGGTGTAGCACGATAGTGGCAAATGGGAGGGGAGGCAAGAGATGGAGGGGTAGTCCTAGTAGAGCCATGGCCCCCTGTGTGCCATGTGGCAGAGAGGCATGGGAAGGGGCTGGTAGGACCAGGGTTTCATTTCAAATTAAAAGTGGTCTCAATTTTTCACTTTTAACCCTAGATGCACCCAAGAATCTGCTCACCGTCCTCTGGCTGTCTTTGCCGTAACTTATCATGTAATCTCAAGCAAGAGTTCTGTGAAAACTAGTTGGCTCTTGACTGGGTAGCCCTTGGCCCAGCACTTTGCACATTGTGGACCCCTCAGTGCCATACGAACTTAGTAGTTTTTTGTTCCACATTGAACAACGTGCCACTGCCCTTTGCCAAACCTACTCACTGCCAGCTTTGTATTTCTGATCAGTACTTGGAGAAGCAGAGCCAAAAGAAATGAGGAAGCGAGCAAGGGAGAAGGGCTCTGTCACCCCAAGCACTGTCTTCTGATTCCCCATAACCCTAGGACCCAGGAGAAGTCCCCAGGTGGAGTACATAGTGGTGTGGGCTTGGCCTCGGCCATGACCCCAACCTGGTACCCTTAGAGAAGCCATGCCTGTGTCAGCCACATCCCTTAACAGCTAGAATTCTGACCATTAGGCCTTTAGTCTAAGAAGCAGATTGGGGAAGAAAGTAAAAGTGGTTTCTCCCTCTTTCCCTGTCCCCACCCCATGCTGTCATAAGGACGTGGCAACAGAGCGACCCAGGCCACAATAATATAGCTTATGACTTCAGGCACTTAACTCTTAGACAGCTCATTGAGAGAATCCAAGCTTACTGTGTGACTTAGAGTAAGTGTCTTCCTTTCCCTGAACCTCATTGTGAAACTAACACCAAGAGTCTCTCAGGGGCTGGGCTCGGTGGCTCACACCTGTAATCCTAGCACTCCAGGAGGCCAAGGCGGACGGATTGCTCGAGGTCAGGAGTTCGAAACCAGCCTGAGCAAGAGTGAGACCCTGTCTCTACTCTAAATAGAAAGAAATTAATTGGCCAACTAACATATATATAGAAAAAATTAGCCAGGCATGGTGGCACATGCCTGTAGTCCCAGCTACTCAGGAGGCTGAGGCAACAGGATTGCTTGAGTTCAGGAGTTTGAGGTTGCTGTGAGCTAGGCTGATGCCAGGGCACTCACTCTAGCCTGGGCAACAAAGCAAGACTCTGTCTCAAAAAAGAAAAAAAAAAAAAGTCTCTCAGGCTTTTCTCAGCTGATTATGTGACTTCTGCTGCCTTCTCCCTTGGCCAGCTTGGAGTTGGGCAACTTTGTTTCATTGCAATCAGTAGGCTTCCCCCTTTGCTCTCCTCTGCTCTGCTCCAGAGGTTCCCAGGCTAGAAATGGCAAGTGCCAGCTCCAAGGGAGGGTGGGGGGGACAAGAGGTACCCTGGAGAGCCTCTTCCTGCTGAAGGGGCTGGAGCAGGGCTGGGGACCATGCTCAGGCATCACCTGGAAGAGCCCCTACCCTCAGGCATCCTTCCACACTGCCTCACTTGGTTCAGAAGGTAGGCAGAGTAGCACTGGGGACACACTATCCCCAAACCCACTGCTCTGGGAAACCAGCAAGTTCTCTAGTCATTCATTTAACACAAAGCGATCGAGTTCTCCTCTGGACACAGCAGCCAGAGTCCCTGCCCTCTTCGTGGTACTTGTGTGCTGTGGGGGGCTGGGCACCCAAGGTGAGTAAGCACACCGACAGGAGTTCAGAGTGGTGCATATGAGAGAGGACACAAATGGGCCGCTGTGTCCCCAACCCCCCCCCCCACAACATGTAGATCCCACAAGGACAGCCTGGAGAGTGAGGCCCACAGGTGAGGGCCAGAGGAGCATCCCATGCAAAAGGAAGAACAAACGCCAAAGCCCAAGTTGGGAACAAGCTCAATGGGACCTAGAAACTGAAAGCAGGCCAGTGGCTGGCAGGCCCAGAGCCCAGGGCAGGCAGGGCCCACGTGGCCATCCCCTGTCCCTTCCTCCTCCCTAGCCATCTTACCCAACCATCACCCACATGCCCAGCTTCCTTCCTGGGGGTATCCTAACACTGGTTCACGGAGTTACCAAATGGGCTTTGAGCCACTTGCTGTTCCCCCTTCTGTGCAGCCACTTCCCCCTCTCACGACTCCCACGCACACCAGAAAGGGAGTGGATGTACTTACTGTACCATTCCAGAAAGTTCTGGCCTTATAGAACAGAGTAGGGAAAGGAGCCTTGGACCTGGAATAGCATCTTCCCCCACCTGATAAGACCTCGGCAAGGATAGGGAGTGTCTCTTCCCTCCACACAGGGAATGTGGGGATGATAATAGGACTGGGAGTCTGCTTGGGCCCCAATTTTTCCACCTGGGCCATGAGGGCCATGGGCTCAGTGGGTGCTCAGGACCCGTCCTGATCATGGGTCTGTGTGAGGGATGACCTGGCATCCTCAGTCCCTCCCTCTCAAAACATTTCTGGGCTGACTTCCTCCCCTTGGGTTGATAAAATTCTTGCTATGTCATGATGTTGGCACTCCCCTCAAAACCTGGTGACTCACAGGCCCCAGGGTGTTGGAGGGAGGCTGTTTTGTTGGTTTTTCAGCTCAGCTTACCTCAGCAGCCCCCAGGTTCTCTTGCCCCAGTGGTCAGGAGCCAGCTGGGCCCCAGCCAAGGCCCAGGGCTCTGCCCCAGGATGCAAGGCAGATCCTTGACCCCAGCAACCCCTGGGGGACCGGATGGCCCACCCTTGCTGGACCTCAAGCACCTTCACACCAAGACAAAGGACTACAGTGATTTGGGTTTATAAAACAGGAGGCTAAGGCCAAATCTCAAGCAACCACAGGCGGGTCATGGCCCAGGTCACTTTGCCCTGGCCTGACCAGACATCGGTGGTTGGAAATTTTTTTTTTTTTTTTTTTAGACAGAGTCTCATTCTGTTGCCCAGGCTAGAGTGCTGTGGTGTCAGCCTAGCTCACAGCAACCTCAAACTCCTGGGCTCAAGCGATCCTCTTGCCTCAACCTCCCAAGTAGCTGGGACTACAGGCATGCGCCACCATGCCCGACTAATTTTTTCTATATATATATTTTTTAGTTGGCCAATTAATTTCTTTCTATTTTTAGTAGAGATGGGGTCTCAGGCTGGTTTTGAACTCCTGACCTTGA